GAAAGTGCGATTTGGGAAGGTTACTGCGAATCCAGCTCCTGAGGTGGATTTGGAACCGTCAGTGTAAACACGAATGCTGGAGGAATGAATGGAGACATGGTTAAGGAAATGAGTGAGAAGGATAGAGGGGGAAATATCTGGTTTTGGTGGGTCAAGGAAAACTGAGGAGCAAATACAGGGGTTAGGTATAAGCCATTGAGGAATGGTATGGACAGAAAATAGGAGAGGTTGGAGGTGAGGAAAGAGGGAATGGGAGAGGAGGGTATCCATGCGTATGGGGAAAGGAGTTGGTAAATGTGGAGAAGAGGTAAAGGTTGGAAGCAAGGATTGTGGAATAGTTAGTTTGGCAAGGGAGAGTTGGTGGAATCAAGCATAGCATCGTGTCGAGAGAGGGATGGCATGCCATACTCAGTATACAGGCTCTCAACTGGAGAGGAGCGGAAGGCGCCTAAGGCTAAGCGGAGACCGCTGTGGTGGATTGTATCTAGGTGAGCAAGAAGGGAGGTTGAGGCAGAGTAGATATGGCATCCATAATCTAGGGTGGAGAGGATCAAGGTAACATGAAGATGGAGGAGAGTTTTGCAATCTGAGCCCCAGGAGATGTGTGAAAGAGTTTGTAAGATTCGGAGGCGGTGTTGAGCTTTATCTTTGATGTACAAGATATGGTCTCGCCAGGACAATTTGGAGTCAAATATAATGCCTAGGAATTTGCCTGAAGAATGGTATTGGAGTGGAGCGTTATATAAGAAGAGTGGAGGTTTGGGACCTATACGGGAGCGAGAGAAAAGGATGGGGAAAGATTTGGAGGTAGAGAAGCGAAAGCCATGGTTAGTGGTCCAAGAAGTTACTGATGTTATTGCAGACTGAAGGAATTGACAGAGATCTTGTATGGATGTGCCAGATGCGTAGATGGTTAAGTCATCAACATATAGTGAGGCCTGGGCTCCTGGTGGTAAGTCATTTACAGCAAGAAGGAATAAATTGGTACTAAGTACACTTCCTTGTGGGACGCCTTCGAACTGAGGAAAGGATGATTACGTGGAAGAGGCAATTTTGACCTGGGAAGTACATTTAGAAAGAAAAGATTTTATGAAGACGCCCATGTTTCCAATTGTTGGCAAATATGGTACCGCCATGTGGTATCATATGCTTTTTCTAGATCAAAGAATATGGCTAATATGGATTTATGGCATGCAAATGCAGATGTAATATATGTCTCGAAATGGGCAATTGGGTCTGCTGTACTTTGGGCACGGCAGATACCACATTAAGTGGAAGTTAACTATTTGTTCTAGTAGCTTGCACAAGCAGCTAGTTAGAACAATGGGCAGTAATTTTGGGGTAGGGTACCTGATTTATTGGGTTTTAAGAAAGGTAGGATAAGAATTTCGCGCCAATGAGAAGGAAAATTTCCTGACGTTCCCGTATGTGGTTGAAAATAGTTGAAAGGAAGTATAGAGAGGAATATGGGAGGTGTCGGAGCATACGATAGTGAATACCATCAAGGCCTTCATGAGTGTTGCGGCATGACTGTAATGCAGCATTGATTTCAGAAGAAGAAAGGAGCATTATCGGACTCATCAGAGGATAGGGTGAAGGTGATAAGGGTGCATTCCTTAATGGCTTTAATGGAAGAAAAGTGTGGGGAAAGGTGAGAGCCACTACTGACTTGGTAAAAATAGTCGCCCAGTTCATTAGCTACTTCGATAGGCTCAGAAATGAGAAGTATCTCGAATATGGAGGACGGGTGCAGGATTGGGGATGTTTGCTTGATAATTTATGTATCTGTCGACAAACAGCTGAAATAGATGTAGATGTAATTGAGGAAACATAATTTTGCCAGCTATTTGTTTTACTGTTTCTGATTGTACGGCGAAGATGGGCAGATGCTCTTTTAACGGAGATAAGGGCTGATAGCTGGTGAGGGGTGCCTTGTTTGTAGCGATAACTGTTCTAGGCTGCTCGTTTTAAGCAAAAGGCTTTGGTGCAATCAGAATTCCACCATGGAACACATTTAATGGTATAAGGTCTTGAAGTTCGAGGAATGGCTGTAATGAAATATTAATGCTTCATAGTTTGGATTACTATAACTCTAACACTATTATTGTTTAACCTTTCATTATTATTATTACAGTTATGACAATAATAATGATAATAATGATGATAGTAATGATAATAATGATAATTAATGTTATTATCTTCATTATATATAAAGTTGAAAATATCATCCTTGCAGTCATGAGAATAATATTGATATTAATAATAATAATTATAATAATAGTAATTTTAATGATAATATTTATGACATTGATAATAAGCATGATTATGATGGCTATAATAGTAGTAGTAATGGTAATGAAAACGATAATAAGAGAAAAAAAAAGTAATAATAAGAGTAATCATAGTAATGATAATGATAATATCATTAATGATGATGGTAAAAACAATAAATGCTATAATAGTAATAATAATAATAAGGCAATAATGATGATATTGATGATAATGAAAATTGTAACAATGATGATGATGATTATAATGATAAGGATAATGATGATGGAAATAGCAATAATACTTGTCATTATAAAAATGGTAATTGTGATAATTATCATTATAAAAATGGTGAATAGTTAATGGTTAAAAAGCAAAATGAATGTGCCTTGACATCAAAGGTCGTATAGCACTATAGGAAGGTATATTAAAAGGTGGTGAAGGGCGATAATAATGTGTCAGCTATCTTAAGTAGTATTGAAGGTTTAAAGATGGGTAAAGGAGCTAATGTGTGAATGGGTTATGGTGGGTTTAGGTAAGGGGATTAAATCAAGTGAAGGATGTGTATGCGTCTGAGGAAGGGGAACAGGTTGTGAAAGCAAAAATTGTGGGATTCTGTAAGGATGTCTGACAGGTTGGGAAGATGGTGAAGAGAGGATAGGTAGGGGAAAGCAGAGGTGCAGGCTGTATTAAAGTGTGGACAGGACAACAGAATGTGTGGAACTGAAAGAGAGACATTACATAGGGGACATAGGGGCAGATCTGAATGTGAAGTATAGACGAGACATGAAGGGAGTGTGAGAAAGAGACAAAATATTAGTTGGGAATTGGAATATGAGTATGTGTAGGAAAAGTCTCTTGGAAGCAGATAATGGATGGATTATAAGAAAAAAGGATATGATGGTCAGGTTTGTGAGAACAGAAACTGCAAATATTCCAATTTAGGAGAGCTATATATGTATATAGTGCATGTAGGAGAATTTAAAGGGGAAGAAGGGGGTGAGATTAGGAATTAGAGGGAAGGGTGGGGTTGGTGTAGTATCAGTAGGGGTATTGGGATGTGGAGGATCTGGGGAAGGGCATAGTTTTACATATGGGATTCACGTGTGTATCCAGGAGGTAGTGGGAGTGGAAGGGATTGAGGGGATGGAGGGAGAGGAGAGTTAATATTGGGGTAGTGGGAGCTGCGTGGGATAGGTTGTGTTGAGAGGGAGTAGGAGGAAGTTTGTGTCGGGGAATGTGAGTAGGAGGAGGATGGATATTGGCAGTAGTTGGAGTTGAGGGGGATGGGTTGTGTTGAGAGGGAGTAGGAGGAAGGGGTGTAGGGGGAACATGAGTTGGAGGAGGATGGATATTGGCAGTCACTTTGAGTGTGAGGGAGCATGAGGTGTGGAACTTTGTGACTCAAGCAAATAATTTTGAATATCTTCCATAGTTTCTGCAGTGGAGTTGGTTGGAGAATTTTGTGAGACAAAGATTTTCTTACATGGAGAGATCAGCTAGATTTGATAATGCTATAGCTTGGGTTTCAAATGTATATATAACGAGACGGGAACGATCGTGTTGGGTACAGAAAAGAACTCTGCCTACTTGTTTTTGGAGACATTGTTGAAAGAGAAGAGTGTTGCCTGAGTAAAGAGCTGTAGAGGCGATCAAGAAAAATCAGCCTCATTTGGCTGGGCTAAATATAAGATATTTGCAGAGTTGGGGGGTGGTAAAAGTACGTGGATATGTGGAAGAGGGAGTATAGGGCTGTAAAATAGTAATAAGAGTGGATGGGGTGATTGATGAAGAAGGTTGCCTGGGTAGAGGCCATGGGAAGCCTTGATTGTGTTAGGGAAAGAGACTGTACCGCTCAGGTTCCTTTTGAGGGGTAAGAGACATGGCTCCCTCAGGCTGTTCAGGACTAGCACAAAGTCAGCCTTTCATCATTTCAGCACGGCTCTTATATCTTAGGAAGTGGACAGTAGAAGTGGTCGGAGAAGGGACGGAAACGAAAGAGCAGAAGGGAGAAAGGACCATGCAAAATTCGTTGAGTCGAGCGTTGAGGCCCAAGAAAGGGGAGATCCCTGCATTGGGGCCCAGTCCCCGTCTCTTCCCCCCACCTCAACAACGAGCCAGGGATTGGGGGTATCATTATAATGATAATGATAATTAGTATTATGATTGTTATTACTGTTATCATTATCACATCATTATCATTATCATCACCATCATCAATAATGTAATTCTTATCATAATAGTAATAATAATTATTGTTATTGTTATATTACTGCTATCATTATTACCATTATTGTTATTATCTTCATTATCAACATTATTATTATTACAACTTATTTGTTATTATTATTATAACTTATTTGTGTCTAATTTATCATTATTCTTATCATGATTAATAATTCATCACCACCAAATCTTAATGTCATCTAAGTTGGGCTGAGGCACATTGGTAGGAATTTCATAAAAATCAGTTCATAAATTTTTGAGTTATCTTGCTAATGAACAAACGAACTTACCAACGCTACCAAAAACGTAACCTCCTATGTGGAGGTAATAATAAAAGTAATGATAGATATGATAATTATATCAACAATTAGATACAATGTTATTATGATTTAGGCTATTATTTATCTGGTATCATTTAACCTCAAATCTATGTTTTTTGTTGTTGATTAAGATTATTATTTATGCAATCATTTGTCTAGTTTTATTCATACACATTTATGTTACAG